TTTTGCAGAACCCATCTAATTTTACTAGGATTATTAATACTAATTATAATAATTATTATTATGATAATAATAGTAATAATAATCATGTGGTTGACCATGTGATCAAGCAAGAACAATTAGTTTCTCAATTAACTACCAACGGAGGCGGAGGCGGCGGCCAACTTGATGACGTCGATGATCGTGACCGTGAAATATTATTATTATCTAATTTCAGTAACAACAACAACAACTTCTTTAATTTCTCCGGCAGCAGCGTCAAGGCGGCGGCGGCTGAAGAGAAGAGTAGTGTTCATCACCATAATCAAGATCATCGTTCATCTCATGAGGTTAGAACTAATTTATAAAAAATAATAAATTAAAGTGAAAAAAAGAAAAAAATAAAACATCATTTCATTATATATTATTAGTACATGAAATTAAAACCTAAAAAGTTGATGTGATTTTCTTGGCATGCCAAAACCGAATAATTACTAAAGACGATGATTTCTACTTACAAATTCTTGCTTTTAATTACTGATCTTTAGAGCAGATTAATTATTAACAGAATTGTTGTGTCATTGATTCTTTCTTTTTTCTTTATTTTTTTTTATTTTTTTATTTCTGAATTATCGTTATAATTTTGACCATTTTATGTTTTAATAAATTGTTTGATTGGTATGTAAAAAAGTGCAACAGCAGGAGCAGTACAGGTGTGGTATCTAAAAAGGCTAGGGTTTATCACTCTTCTGCCCAACCAGCTCTCAAGGTCAGGAATCAGGAATCTCTCTCTCTCTCTCTCTCTCTCTCTCTCTCTCTCTCTCTCTCTCTCTCTCTCTCCTCTCTCTCTCTCTCTCTACTAATTACATGAAAATAATTAAAAAAACATAATAAAAAAATAAATACAGAAAGTGAGAAAGGAGAATTTGGGGGATAGAATTACTAGCTCTTCAACAACTTGTTTCCCCTTTTGGAAAGGTAACAAAAAATTAATGCTAATGAAATTCAACTAAATACTCTCAATGTAATTCTCGATTTCGAACCGAAAATTTTCAACTTTGAAACATTTTTTTACACTGAATTCTGAAAATTCCAAATAAATATATATCCAAATACATATAGATATAGAATATGTATACATGAGAAACAAATTTCCGATCTAATTTTATTTTCCCAAAAAAATTCAGAAACTTCCATTTTTTCAAATATAAAATTTATAATATTATCATAAATATAATAATTTATAAAAATATCAAGGGAGAAAATATAAATTTAAAATTGATCACAGAATTCTACAGATTTCTATCTGAAAAATTTCGATATAGAAAGAAGTGTATCTCATTCAAATTTTTGGATATACAAATTCCAATTTTTCAAAAATTTTTTAAAAAAAATTTGAATTAATTTTACACTTTCAAAAGTACTAATTTCGATACCTTCGGATATCCGAAATCTAAAATTACAGACATTATTTTTTGTAAAAAAATTAGAATAAGAGTTTTACACTTTAAAAAAAAATTCAATTCAAACCAACCAAATTTCCAAATTAAAAAAAAACAAAATGGGG